GTGTGTGTGTGTGTGTGTGTGTGTGTGTGTGTGTGTGTGAGTGTGAGTGTGTGAGTGAGTGTGAGTGTGTGAGTGTGAGTGTTCGCGTTTTTGTGACAAATGAGGACATAAATGTGTATAATGACAAAGGTATGACAGGTATTACAAGGAGAAGGTGACTTTTCAGGACATTACCCCATGTCCCCACTTTTCAAAACGCTTATAAATCACACAGAATGGAGTGTATTGAAAATCTGAAATAGCAGAAAGTCTCCTGTGAGGGGTAGGTTTAGGGGTAGGGTTGGTGTGAGGATGTGTGTGTGTGTGTGTGTGTGTGTGAGAGAGTGAGTGTGAGTGTGTGTGAGTGTGTGTGTGTGCAATGCATTTAATGAAAGATGCAGTGAAACTCCAGCTGATCTGAGGGTGAGACGCTCACCTGTCTGTCTTTCTCTGCTGCTTCTGTCCAACATCTGCAGCAGCGCTCATTCAGAATTAGAGACATGAACTCTTTAACCTGTGTACATCAGCAGCTCTATAAATCTTGTGCTGTAGTTGATTAAAGGCTATGATGAATGAAAGATGGTGACATCAGCCTCATCAAAACACAGAGAGACAGAAAAGCTTGTTCGTTTTGAAAGTAAAGCTCAAACATGAGTTACTGTGGGAATTCTGGTTAATTCAGTCACCGAAGACAAAAGAAAGCGAGTGAGAGTATTTTATGCTGCACAGAAGCAGGATCAGACGTGCTAACCTTGGGGAAAAAGGTGTAACTTCTTGAGTTATTCAATACATAAATCGACAATGAAGAAAACAATACAATAATATATCCTTAAGACAGGGATGCAGACGCATCAGGGGTTAAAAACATGCCTACTGTGAAAAATATATTTGTGTATTTTATGTATTTATAGTCTTACAGTCCTTTTAGCATGCTGATACAGAAAAAAACGTACTGCAGCTATTAAAAGAACAGCCATGATCTCATGAGCTCACTAATTATGAGGGAATGCAGAAAGCAGCGGCTCAGAATAGACTGACCTTTCATCAGTCTCACATACAGCGCCCATGTTTACTGATACTGTACGCCAGGGTTATTCTACATGAGCCCAGAGTTAACAGCCGCGGATGTGACGCAGTGCAGGATTGCATGTTGGTTTGGGTTATGACGGCCGTTTCAGATGCAATTAAAGCAGCAGATCTGTCTGAGAGAGTGGTCTAAAGTTCACAGACATCATGAGCTCAATGTCTCTCTCTCTCTCCTCCAGAACAGCTTTGATGTGTTCCTCGCTCTGTCATTTCAGCAATAAACTCAAACGAGCGCTGGGACTGTAAACAACAACCTGCAGTACTTTACAGTCCAGTTCACGGAGAGATTCTGGGACGTTACGAGCAGCGATGAGCTTCAAGAGGAATGTGTTTTTGTGAGGATGAAACTCATTAAGAGCACTGCCAAGCATCAGCAAAGACCCATCCACTCATCACTGCGGTAAAACAATTAAACGGCAAGGTAAAAACTACACTAATAATATGCTTATAATAAAATACAACCATAGTTGCACTACCAGTCAAAAGTTTTTGAACAGCAAGATTTTTCAGAACAGCAAAGTCTCAAAATGTATTTGATCCAAAGCACAGCAAGAGCAGTAATATTGTGAAATATTATTGCATGTAAAACAGCTGTGTTCTATGTGATTATATGTTAAACTGTAATATATTTCTGTGATGCGCAGCTGTATTTCCAGCATCATTCCTCCAGTCTTCAGTGTCACATGATCTTCAGAAATCAGTATAATATGCTGATCTGCTGCTCGAGAAACATTTCCGATTATTATTATTTTTAATGTTGAAAACAGTTGAGTAAATTTTTTGAGAATTTTTGATGAATAGAAAAATCCAAAGATCAGCATTTATCTGAAATAAAAAGCTTTTGTAACATTATACAGCTCAAAAGCTTGGAGGAAGAAATTATAGAAATTAATACTTTTATTTAGCAACGATGCTTTAAATTGATCAAAAGTGATGATAAAGACATTTCTAATGTTACAAAAGATTTCTATTTCAGATAAACGCTGTTCTTCTGAACTTTCTATTCATCAGAGAAACCTGAAAAATTTCTACTCGGCTGTTTTCAACATAATAATAATAATAATAAATGTTTTTTTGTGCAGCAAATAAGAATATTAGAATGATTTCTGAAGAATCATGAGACTGGAGTAATGATGCTGAAAATTCAGCTTTGATCACAGGAATAAATTACATTTTAAAATATATTCAAACAGAAGACATTATTTTAAATAGTAAAAATATTTCAATATTACTGCTCTTGCTGTGCTTTGGATCAAATAAATGCAGCTTTGGTGAGCAGAAGAGACTTATTTAAAAAAACATAAAAAATGTTCCTGTTCAAAAACTCTTGACTGGTAGTGTACGTTTAATAATTTCACAGATGCTTTTGACCTCAAATGAAAGGATTCATCTGTATGATCATGCATAATTCTTCCTGAAAATATTCCACGTTGTTAAAATCAATGAAATCCAGTCAAACTCTATATTGGATAGTGACCTGGCAGATGTCACATCACGAACAAAGCTTATAACCTGCACGTGATCGATGCTAAATGTGTTTGATGCAGTGCAATACAGGCTGTAAAGGAGGATGAAACTTCTTTATTTCGCATAATAAAGCATTTTAACATTCGTAGCCTGTGTGGAAGCTCCACAGAAACACGTCTGCGTTTGATACTCTTTCTGTTCAGAAACAAACATCTTCAAATCGCATGCTCCTGTAAAGCTTCATTATGTATTTAAAGTTTAAAGGGAAGTGCACGGCTTCTGCGTTTGCAAATGAGCGTGAGCTTGTAGATCAGCCGTTTTACGAGCGATCGTTTGGGAAATGAAAGAGTAAAGCAGAGGTCTGCGGCCGAACGCAACGCTTCCCTCGGGGCTCGAACGCTGGGAACGTTTGATGTGCTGAGAGCTGCGGAGGCCAGGTGTGTAAAACTGTACATTTGCCTCCTAAATACAAACAGAGAAAGTGAAAGAGTGCTTGACCTTCTGCAGAGATGAACAATTCCAGCAGTAAACGGCCCTCTGTTTAGCTTCCTCAATTAGATTTATTACCCTCGTGGATTCTCCATCAGCCTTTGAATTCAACTCAGGCTTTGATGACAGACGAGACCCCTCATGCCAGAAATCCTGAATCTTACAGCATGTGATTTTTCATAAATGTGACCCTGGAGCACAAAAGCAGTGTTAAGTCGCTGGGGTATATTTGTAGCAATAGCCAACAATACATTGTATGGGTCACAATTATACATTTCTCTTTTATGCCAAAAATCATTAGGATATTAAGTAAAGATCATGTTCCATGAAGATATTTTGTAAATATCCTACCGTAAATATATCAAAACTTAATGTTTGATTAGTAATATGCATTGCTAAGAACTTCATTTGGACAACTTTAAAGATGATTTTCTCAATATTCAGATTTTTTTGCACCCTCAGATTCCAGATTTTCAGATATTGTCCGATCCTAACAAACCATACATCAATGGAAAGATGATTTATATAAATCTCAATTTGCAAAAATGGACCTTTATGACTGGTTTTGTGCTCCAGGGTCACATATGACAGATGAGACCCTTCTTGCCAGGGTCTTGAGAAATCCTGAATCTCAAAGCACGTGATTTTTCATAAATGTCGACATGGTGGGCGTTGATGCAACAGCTATTTCTTAAAGTCTGCATGCAGATCTCGCAGGATTCGTCCCACATACCTCAGAGAGAGAGAGAGAACGGCTCCCTCTCTCGTCCACCGGAGGCCTGGCCAGCAGAAACAGACCATTCTCTCTCTCATTCACTCTCTCTGTCTCTCTCTCTCACGCCAGCATCCCAGTGACAGCTGAGTGGCTGCCGTGTAATTGCAGAGAAGTGAGGTCAGCAGGAGGCTTTTATCAGAGATCGCACAGCGATCAGAAACACGAGAAGAAGATGCACAGCGCAGACGGGCGGCCCCAAAGCTCCCTCTCTCTGTGCGTCACACTGGAAGTTTCTCTGGAATCGACAGGACTGAAGCACACAATCTGGAAGCAGAAGTAAGTCACTTTTAAAAACTGTTTTTACAAAGAATTATCATAAGATGTTAAAACAATATATCAATTTGGCAGAAACTAGACAGAGGTGAATATAGTGTCATTTAAAATAGCAGCAGAGCAAAACTGAGACATTTAAAACAGAAATGGAGCAATACTGAAACATTTTAGATAAGTGATACTGAAACATTTACAGTAGAAATAGTGGACACTATGACGTTTAAATGAGAGAAAGAGCAACATTGAGACATTTAAAGAAGTGATAGAGCAATATTGAAGCATTTGAAGTAGAAATAGAGCTATATTGAAATATTTGAAGTAGTGACACTGAGACATCCAAAGTAGATATAGAGCAATACTGAGATGTTTAAATTAGAGAAAGAGCAATACTAAGACATTTAAAGTAGCGATAGAGCGAAACTGAGTCATCTGAAGTAAACATAAAAAGACATTTAGGCAAAGTAGTGATAGAGTGACATTAAGACATTAAAACTAACAATAGAGCGACACTGGGAAATTAAGATTAGTAATGGAGTATCACTGAGAAGTTTAAAGTAGTGACAGAGGAATACGGAGATATAATTGAGTACTATAGAGTACTTTAGGCTCACTCATTCATTCTCTCCAGCATCAGTTCCAAATCTACCGACAGCCCTGCCATTTCATAATCAAATGTCTTGCAGTAAATATCGTGTAAAACCAGTGTTCGGTTGAATTCAGGAATCATTTGTGTATCTTATATGTGCCCCTGCAGCACAAAAGCAGTGTTAAGTCGCTGGGGGATATTTGTATTTATCTTTTATGCCAAAAATCATTAGGATATTACGTAAAGATCATGCTCCATGAAGATATTTTGTACATTTCCAACCGTAAATATATCAAAACTTAATGTTTGATTAGTAATATGCATTGCTAAGAACTTAATTTGAACAACTTTAAAGATGATTTTCTCAATATTCAGATTTTTTTGCACCCTCAGATTCCAGATTTTCAAATATTGTCCGATCCTAACAAACCATACATCAATGGAAAGCTTATTTATTCAGATGATGTATACGTCTCAATTTTCAAAAACTGACCCTTATGACTGGTTTTGTGCTCCAGGGTCACATGTCATTATTATGCTTTCTATATATATACTGTATATATTCAGAACACATGTAGAATCTGTTTTATATGTGAATTATGCTGATTATTGTGGAACTGACCTGTCTCCTGTCTCTTCATCAGGAATGGACAGTGTGTGAAGCGTCCGTTTGTTGATTTGTGTCATTAACAGCAGAAACGAACACACTGCTCTGAGGAGATTCTGCTGCAGGAGGTCAGAGGTCACGCCAGCATCTGAGGATTGTACTGGGAAAGGGTCCGAGCGGATCTCCCACAGCTTGAAGATCCAACCCGAGTTTAGCCTTCAGTATGTGGATCATGAACTCCCTGAGAAACGCAGTATAATGCACAAATGGACGCTGCGATGGAAACTGCCTGAGTTTGCGTGTGGACTGTGGCTGGCGCTGCTGGTCAGCCGAGTGTGTGTGTGTGTGTGTGATGGAGAGTCTGTGACCGACTGCTCCAAACACGAGCGCCACACCAGGAACTACGACTACATGGAGGGAGGGGACGTTCGGATCCGACGCCTCTACAGTCGCACACAGTGGTTTCTGATGATCGACGAGTTCGGGAACATCAGCGGGACGCAGGATCCCAACAACTGCTACAGTAAGAGCGTCTTCATCTTTCTGTTGCATGCCATACATTCATTACATACATTCATTTGGGCTGCTTTTTTGATCTAAAACAATGTGTCTAAAACTCATATTTGGTAAAGGCCTCTTTAAGGGATAGTTCACCCAAAATGAAAATTAGCCCATGATTTAGGTATCCTAGGTGTATATGACTTTCTTCTTTCATATGAATCCAATCAGAGTTATATTTCAAAACATCCTGGCTCTTCCAAGCTTTATAATGGCAGTGGATGGGTGTTATTTTTCAACAGTCCAAAAGAAGTGCAATAAAGTGCATCCATCTGTAATAAAAAGTGCCTCACACGGCTCCGAGGTGTGCGTTTTTGTAGGAAATATATCCATATTTAAAACTTTATAAACAGTATTCTCTAGCTTCCGCTAACTGTCGTACGTTCACAATAGAACGCCGTTCCGGCTGATGACATAGGACTATGCGTAGTGTACTCTCCAGTGAGAATATGCTAGTCTTGCGAGAACCAACGTTTGTTTACAGGAGCAGAGGAAGCAAAGTTTCCGTACTATAGCAAAGAAAAACCAGACATTTTTCTTTACAAATCCTCGTTTTGTGCTTCTAATTATTGACCGGCGTATTGTTTTGCACTTCCGCGTTCGTCAGTTCATCCTACGTCATCCGCCGGAACAGCGCTCTATTGTGAACGTGCGTACGACAGTTAGCGCAAGCTAGAGAATACTGTTTATAGCATTTTAAATATGGATATGTTTCCTACAAAAACGCACACCTCTGAGCCGTGTGAGGCACCTTTTATTACGGATGGATGCACTTTATTGCACTTCTTTTGGACTGTTGAAAAACAACACCCATCCACTGCCGTTATAAAGCTTAGGAGAGCCAGGACATTTTTAAATATAACTCCAATTTGATTCATCTGAAAGAAGAAAATCATATACACCTAGGATGGCTTAAGGGTGAGTAAATTATAGGGCACATTTCATTTTTGGGTGAACTGTCCCTTTAAGTTATAGCAGAGAGTGTTTTCCCACTGTATGTGGGCTGGTCAGGGTTCCAGTGGGATTATGAGCTGGTCGCGTGGCGTGTGACGAGAAGTGACAGGAGTAAAGAGAAACAGGTGTTTGGGGGGAGTATTTATAACTCTTGTTTCCCTTGGCTAGAGGACTTAATGGTCAGAAGTTATCAGATGTGGTCAGAATGGAGGTTCAGTTCAGTGACTGCAAACTAGTTTGTGTAGAGAGCGTCAAAACAACAACAAAAAATGAGACTGGAAGCTGATGCTGTGTGCATGGATACATAATCAATTATTAAATGGAAAAAATAAATATTTAAATAATTGATTATTCACTTTAATGATCATGTATATACATAACATCAGCCCCAAGGATGTTTGGTTATTAGTAATCTCGGTTGTGTACTAAAAGAAAGTGGTCATGTATGCATCTCTGCTCTGGAGGGAAAATGATTACGTCAGCTGGCGCTGAAAAGAAGAAAAATTGATACAGCCAGATGTGGCCGACGACTGCACGCACAGAGAGCATGCAAGACATGCAGTGAGGGTCAAAGAGGGACGGGAGAGAAAAGCAGACACGTTCTGAGGCCCTGTCAGAGCTGTGCCGTGACAGCAACTTATTATACCACTGGAGCCACTTACATGTGAAGCAAACACTTCCAGACACACACACACACACACACACACACACACACACACACAGAGACACACACACACACCCACACACACACACACACACACACCCACACCCACACCCACACACACACCCACACCCACAACCACACACACACCCACACCCACAACCACACACACACCCACACCCACAACCACACACACACCCACACCCACAACCACACACACACCCACACCCACAACCACACACACACCCACACCCACAACCACACACACACCCACACCCACAACCACACACACACCCACACCCACAACCACACACACACCCACACCCACAACCACACACACACCCACACCCACAACCACACACACACCCACACCCACAACCACACACACACCCACACCCACAACCACACACACACCCACACCCACAACCACACACACACCCACACCCACAACCACACACACACCCACACCCACAACCACACACACACCCACACCCACAACCACACACACACCCACACCCACAACCACACACACACCCACACCCACAACCACACACACACCCACACCCACAACCACACACACACCCACACCCACAACCACACACACACCCACAACCACACACACACACACACACACACACACACACTCACACACACTCACACACCTCAAAATGACAAGAGCAGTGTCTGCTCACAACAAACAGATGCTTCAGCTGTCAAATATCTGTGCAACTGGAGCTTTAACTCGCCGTAGATCATAATCAAACCATCTGATGCTGATATTTTGCTTCATAGGAATGGATTCTGAAAGGTGATTCCTGCATTATTAAACAGAATTGTAAGAATAATTTCTTTGCATATTGAGCTGAGATACAACAGAAGTATATAAACACCCCAAAAATGGCACACTTCACCTTTAAACCATTAATTACCTCATAAACTCCCAAACAGCATCTCAAATAAAGTTTGTAATAATTACCACAGACTAACTCGGACTGTTATTTAGGTCAGTGTTATTTTAGTATCACTGGCATACTATCATTTGTTAATATTTTAAATTAGATTTTATTTTTATATTGTCTGCTTTCATGTCAATTTTAATTAAAGTTTTGCTAACACTTAAAACCTTTATGTATAATGCAGAATAAAAGTAGTTTTAATGCATTAATTATGCCTTGTAATGCACCTTATAAAGCATTGTACAATCTCATGAATAGTTGTAACCACAGTTAATACATTATAACACTTATCGATTCATTGTTACACTATCCATTTTCAATTCGGTTATAATTATTTACAAGAAGATATAATGTATTACAACTCACATTATGAATAATTAGGTTACACTTTATTTTAAATTAATGAAACCCTCTTATAACCCTTTACAATGCATTATACATAAAGGCTTTAAATAAAGTGTAACCCTCATTTTGTTATGTTTCTGTCATTTTTATTAGTTTGTAAATGTGTCTATATAGATTATTATAGTTAGCTAAAACCAGCGTGTCTTCATGCGCTCAGGCCGATCCGCTGTGTGTGTTTCAGGTGTTCTGGAGATCAGGACGGTTTCGGAGGGCGGTGTGTTGGCCATAAAAGGACTGAAGAGCCAGTATTATATTTCCATGAACCGCACCGGAATGTTACAGGGCAAAGTATAAAGCCATCCGTCCTGCAAACACACAACATACACCAGTTAATCCGATTATCCCAGCTAACGCTCTCTCTCTCATCTTTCATTGAAGAGTAAATATAAGGCATGCCACGGATAATTCAGCAAACACAACACAATGCAATACATCTCGCTTCTGTCATTCCTTACGATCTGTTCTTCTTTCCCGGACAGAAAGACTACAACGACAGCTGCAACTTCAAAGAAGTGTTTTTAGAGAACTACTACACGGCGTACTCGTCCGTCAAATGGACTAAAAACGGCAAAGAGATGTTCATCTCTCTGTCACAGAAGGGCCGACCGCTGAGAGGAAAGAAGACGAGGAAGGAGAGCATCTCTTCTCACTTCATCCCTCGAAAGTGCAGGGAAAACGAGAAGAAGCTGGCGTGAAGAAGAAACAGCAGAGACGCTGTTACTGCGTCTGTTTGGCTTTACTCGTCTTATTCATCAAACTCTATCAATAAAACATTCACTCTGTCACACTGACACACACACACACACTCACTCTCACACACACACACTCGTATACACACTCACACACAGACACACACTCACACAGAGACACACACACACACAGACACTCACACAGAGACACACACACACACAGACACTCACACAGAGACACACACACACACAGACACTCACACAGAGACACACACACACACACTCGTATACACACTCACACACAGACACACACAGAGACACACACACACACACACACACAGACACTCACACAGAGACACACACACACACACTCACACACAGACACACACTCACACACACACACACACACACACACACACTCTCACACACACACACACACA